GCTAAACATACCCAGCTCCTTCAACTGTTCCTCATAAGGCTTGGTTTCCAGACCCTTGATCATCTTGGTTGCCCTCCTCTGCACACGTTCCAGCTTGTCAACATCCTTCTTAAATTGCGACACCCAGAACTGTACACAAATTCCAGGTGTGGTCCGACCAAGGCAAAATAGAGTGGTACTATTTCTTCCCGTGATCTGGACCCTATACTTCTGTGGATGCAACCTGGAATAGAGCTAGCTTTCCTTGCTGCTGCATCAATACTACTACTAATAATAATTTATTATTTATACCCTGCCCATCTGGCTGGGTTTCCCCAGACACTCTGGGCGGCTTCCAACAATAGATTATAAATACATTAAAACACCAGTCATTAAAACCTTCCCTGAACAGGGCTGCCTTCAGATGACTTCTAAATGTCAGATAGTTGTTTATTTCTTTGACATCTGATGGGAGGGCGTTCCGCAGGGCGGGCGCCACTACCGAGAAGACCTTCCGCCTGGTTCCCTGTAACTTCACTTCTCACAGTGAGGGAACAGCCAGAAGGTCCTCGGAGCTGGACCTCAGCTGAACGATGGAGGTGGAGACTCTCCTTCAACAGATAGTATCCTTAAACAGCTGTTGACCACACATTATTTCAGGCCTTGCTTTCCTGAGTCTCCTTTCCTAGTGCTCTGAGGGATGCCAGGCAACCACTATTACAATTACCCAGAATGCCCTGCAGTGATGCTTCCTTGCTGTGGGACACTATCACTGCCATCCTCATTCCAGCTTGATAGCAGAGGTGGAAGGATCTGTCAATTCTCCGTTTCTCATTTTTCCAGTCTTCAGTTCTCTTCATTTCTGTGCTGGTTCGCAGTATCTTTTTCAAAAAATCCACCAACATTTTTGTGCAAATTTCTCTTAACATACACATTGTGCTTGATAAGACACATTTTTCCAAGTTTCCCCTAATATAAAACAGCATATATATTATCTTAATTAATGTATATGTTTTTTGTGCACCCTTTTCTCTAATGTGCACATTTTTGTTTACACATCTGGAGAACTGCATCAAAAAAACAAAAGGAGAAGGGTGAATTTCAGAAGTTTGCTGTGTTTTAGTTTGTGTTTTGTTTCAGAAAGGGTGAATTAGGTAGCTTTGGATAAAAATCCAATCCAAACCAGATTTCTTCCCATCCCATCCCTATTTGTTGGTGGTTATTTCAACGTGATTGGTTTATGTTGACATATTGCTAATTGCTGCCTTGAGAGCTCATGTTATGAGACAATGGATATAATAAATAAATATTATTTCTCATATGTGTGCGTATCAGTTTTTAAATGGATGTCCTCATATTGTTTAGGGAGGCTTTTAATGTTTGATGTAGTACAGTATTTTAATATTTTTTTGGAAGCCGCCCAGAGTGGCTGGGGAAGCCCAGCCAGATGGGCGGGGTATAAATAATAAATTATTATTATTGTTGTTGTTATTGTTGTTGTTTTCATCTTACATTTGCTGATACTTATAGTGTTTCAAAAAGCGTTGGGATCCACGTACATTGCACTTCATTAATCTATTCCCTTTATCTACCTAGCGAAACCTCTCTTTTTGAGTTTCGGATTTGTAATGATACCCTTCTTTGCGCGAAGGCCTTTTGCTTTTCTTTGTTTTACAACAGAATCCTTAAAAGCAGAAACACAGTTTGGAAGTGGATTAAAACGGCCCCCTCGCAGATGTTTCCATTTGCCACCACTTAAAGTAATCGAATGAATTCATCCGAAACTTCCAGGCTCCACACGCCCCTTCAAGCTTGAAATCTATATCTCATCATGCTTCCATAAATTGTGTCTCGTTCAGAGCTATGTCTGAGGTGGCGATCCTAAGCATACTCTCTAAGTCAATGAAAAACATTTCAAAGGCAGGGGGAAAATAGCACGTTTCATTCAGGACTGTCCAGCGTTCTTTGCAACTGTTTTTCATTTTTTTCGGCCAGGGTGTGTGTGTGTGTGTGCATGCACACTGTACTAATAATACTGTACACATGTGTGACCCATATAAAATCACTTAAATCTGGGGGGGGGAGGGGAGATGATTGATTAGTTGAGAGAAGAATTGTTCAACACAAAATGTCAGTTGAGACAAGAAATTCTCAGCTGTGTGAGCTGGCATGTGTTTTAAATACTTGCAAGAGATTAGCTCTATAAATTAACACCGAAAGCTAATGTTCCTATTTCTGAAGCAGCCCTCTTCACTCGAAGGGTGGGGGATAGAGTTCATTGGCCAGTTTGTTTGTACAAGAGACATTCCGGACAGCAATAACCCCAAATCTGTATTTGGAAAAGAACCCAATGATCCTATTCATGAATCAACAAAGCCCAGCAGGTGGCAATAGAGGCACTTCTGGTATCCGAAATCCTGAAACTCTTCAACAAACTATTGAAGAATGTGCATGTTATTCCATTCCCGGTCATTTATGGCTCCAACTGATGTGAAAAACCTGGTACCTTTAGGTGATTTGTGTTATTCCATTGTGCAGGATGCCAGGTGTGGTCTCCCAGAATTCCTTCCATCAGTTGATATATATTAGTTGAACAAATTGGAATTCTAATGCAACACAGTGGTGAAGATGAAGTGATTGAGCCCTGCGGAAAACCTGGTTCTCCTCAAATGAGCAATGATATATTTATTAATGGACAACTCATCTACTTATAAAGATAGCTTGAAGGTCAGAAGATTAAAAAAATATATAGATGGGTGAAATTCTGGAAAGCCAAGAATCTTGGTAGTTCTCAAAAATAATGTGGAAATGTTTTTCCATAATGGTCTGTTGGAGTCAGAATTTTCCCCATTATATTGAAATATGCTATTAATTCCCATTGTAGCTCACCAGGTGTCCCCAACAGCAAATGGAGAAGTGGTCCAATAGGGCAGGAGAACCTCTGCTGGTGAGAGACTTTGAGTCTAAAGGTGAGCTCAGACATGCAAGCTTAAGTAAGGACCATAACTTTTCATGCACAATATCCCAGTTTCCATCTCTGGAAGTCAAGTTTTGACCATTTCCTGTAGATTCACCACCACAGTAGACAGTATGGGGTCAGATGGACAAATAGTCTAACCTGGAATAAGGCAGCTTCCTTGGTTTGACTCTCCATAAGTGCAACAACAAGGGAAGATCTAGATGACCTGTTTTTTAAAACCATTGTAAGACACCTTGAGCAATATTAAAGGTAAAGGGACCCCTGACCATTAGGTCCAGTCACGGACAACTCTGGGTTGTGGCGCTCACCTCGCTTTACTGGCCAAGGGAGCCGGCGTACAGCTTCCAGGTCATGTGGCCAGCATGACTAAGCCGCTTCTGGCGAACCAGAGCAGCGCACGGGAACGCCGTTTACCTTCCCGCTGGAGCGGTACCTGTTTATCTACTTGCACTTCGTGCTTTCGAACTGCTAGGTTGGCAGGAGCAGGGACCAAGCAACGGGAGCTCACCCCGTCACAGGGATTCGAACCGCTAACCTTCTGATCGGCAAGCCCTAGGCTTTGTGGTTTAACCCACAGCGCCACCCACGTCCACTCGTGAGCAATATTAGAAGAGTGCAAAAGGACTGCAATACTTCAAGGACCACCCCTCCCCATATGACCCAACAGGACCCTTCTTTTGGTGCCTCCTCCACGAGAGATCCAGAGGATGGCAACACAAGAATGGGCCTTTTCTGCAGTGGCTCCCCACTTGTGGAACACTCTCCCCAGAGAGGTTCAGCCAGTGCCTTCAATATACACCTTTAAGTGCCAGGCAAAAACATTCCTCTTTAACCAGGCCTTTGGCTGATTGACATCTGATGCCCTTTTAAATGTGTTGCAGAAGAATGTTCCTGGTTTGTTTTTGTTCTTATTTTTATTATGTATTATGTATTTTTTATATTGTGGTTTTATGTTGTGAACCGCCTTAAGATCTACAGGTATGGGATGGTATACAAATTTAATAAATTGTCACCTTTATATAACCAAATAGATTTGTGTGAAAGTAACAGCCACAGGCAATCAAAAACTATGGTTAGAATTTCCATGGCATTAATTTCAAACATTCCTTCTAAAAAGAGACAGATTATGCATTTAGGTGTGGGACTAATTCATTGATGAGATAGCACATGTGTGTGTGTGTGTGTGTGTGTGTGTGTGTGTGTGTGTTGTCCAGCCATTAATGATTGCTGTATTCCCTACTCAAAAGAGATCTTTCGTACCATCATTGCAGGTAATGTCAGGCATCTTCCAATACTGTTTTTACTACTTTGAGCCATCTGACTGTGTTTTAATCATTTTTGGACTGGATGAGTGTGAACAAACGGGAGCTTAATTTACACAAGATGGAGTCCTCCTTTGTGTAGGCACTCTATAGGGGTACAGGCTGTTTTGAATGAATATGGTCGCACACCAATCTACAAACCAGGTTTGCAGTTTGCTGATGCTCCTGGACCCAGTCCTACTCACAGAATCATAGAATTGTAGAGTTGGGAGGGACCACAAGGATCACGCAGTCCATCCCCTCCTGGAATACAAGGTAGTCCTGGTAGCCAAGAACACCATTTACCAGCTTTGGAGGGAGAGGCAGTTCAGCTGCAACCTTTTGCTGAAAAATCGGACCTGGCCTCACTAATTTCTGCCATATTCATTTGCAATCTGGCACAACCCTCTGACGAGCCCTGAGAACCAGTGCTCTGATTTCATGCGCTCTCGTCTTGCTTTCTTCGGGGTAAGAGCGTGGTGTGGGTCATGTGACTCGCTGGGAGCAACTCATGTCCCAATTTCATTTTATTTCTTTTTTTCAAAAATTTGTATTCATTTTATAACACAAATAAGAAAACACAAACAGAAAAGACAAACAATACAAACAAATTATTGTCATATCCTTATTTTCTTAAACATTGTTAAGTGGGCTTCCCCAAGTCCCACCTATTTGATTTTCGTTTTACTTCATCATTAGCAGTTTACATATATCATAATTTCTAACCATCTTTTTTTAAAAAAAATCACACTTAAAATAACTTCACATTTTATCACTTACAAATAATACTATTTTAAAATACCCTATCTTCTACTTCTAACCCTACAGCCTATATCCACTTCCAAAGCTATTCTAAGGTTTAAATATTAACATATTTTTTCAAATATTCCTTAAACTTCTTCCAGTCTTCTTCCACCTTCTCTTCTCTCTGGTCTCGGAGTCTCCCAGTCAGTTCGGCAAGTTCCATAGAGTCCATCATCTTCATCTGCCATTCTTCGATAGTTGGTAAATCTTGTTTCTTCCAATTCTTCACTAACAATATTCTCGCAGCTGTTTGGCATACAGAAAAAAAGTAACATCCTTTTTGGGGATTTCACCCCTGTCCCAATTTCAGGTACAAAAAAGTTGGATGCCGTGTGAACAGGGTCCGAAGTGCCTATACCCTCCCTCACCACAACAGGATTTAAGAATTAATTTATATTGTAAACTGCCCCATGATCCTCGAATAAATTACAGGAGAAATTTAATAATAACAATTAGGGGTTTTTTAAAAAGCCAGAACTTACCGGAACGCGGTTCCGACAACTCTCAGGTGGGCGCCATTGCTATTACAAGAAAGTCAGTCAGTTTATTAATGCTTGGAACATAGACCATTCGCATATGCCACTGTAAGAGAACTAGAGAAGAATTCATGGTGGGTTGTGGCACCTATTTTTCTAGAAAAATAGCACTGATAATAAAGAATAATGATAATAAGTACTGTGCTACTAAACTGAATCGTAGCAGTTGACAAAGTCACCGTATATGATAGTAAGATTCCACCCCCACCCCCTTTTACCACCATCATTTTGAAAATCAACAGAACAAACCTTATACAAGGGCTCCAGGATTCGTGTAAAAATAGGCTTTCCTTTTAAACAACTTACCTCAGGCATTGCCATCTCAAAAAGGCTTTTTACAACCATAATAAATCACCTGCTTTTTTCTTTTTCTTTTTTTTTAAAGAGAAAGAGAGGCCTGTGAATCATGTCCTTTCCGTGATCTGTGGACACTTAAAAATACAACCAAGGAGAATCCAGATATTACGTATGAATAAAACATTCGCCCAGCTATTGCTTTCTCTACAGGAAGCCCAGGAGTGGCATCTCCTATATAAGAGAGATGTGTCAGGGAAGGCAATTTATAGCAGCCAGCCAATGTTGTATAGTTCTGTTAATACATATGCTTAAAAAAAAAAACCTAAAGGGGAAAAAATTAGCGCATTGGATATAAATGTGCTTTAGAAGCTACTGGGCATTAACGTAACCCGAGAGTCTCTTAGGGTGAAATTAAGAAGCAAGTGTGCTATAAGGCTGTAGAAACCTTCGAGACATTGTTAGAAAAAGAAATCTGAGAGACAGTCATAATAAAAACACTTGCACTTTAAAGTGCTTCTAGCCCCATGAAGTCCTTTACAGCCACCCATTCATTAAGACGTCCAGTCCCTAGGAGCCAAAGCCCATTAATTCTATTTTTAAACTTTGGGGAATTGTGGCATGGAGATATCAAACGATTTTGCCTCGGTGCATAACGCTTCAGACTCACGGCCTAAAGGGTGAAAAAAGCTCTCTCTGTCACACACGTACACACACACGTGGGCTTCATCTTGTCATCTGAACCTCTCCCAATTCTCCATTATAAATCATTTATTTGGACGAGAATTTGCAGTTTAAACATTATCATTAGGTTCCAGCTGAGATGCTGACATTCTAATATTTTAGTATTCACCGCTCCCCGTGAAATGCATACGAAATAAGCTGCAGATTATCAAAGATCCTTGCTGAAATCGCTGGAGATTGATCCATTTCCTTGGCATGCAATCCTATGCACTTGGGAGTAGGTCCGATTAAAGTCAATTGGACTTAGTTCTGAGCAAACACGCAGAGGATTGATACCATTTATTTATTCTCAAAGCATTGTTGGATTTGAGGGGGTCTTGGGCAGCTTACCTCTGGGACGAGGGTGGTCCAACACCACCATGGCTACCCCAGTCCTTTCCCTTTTTTTAGATTTCTTGGGTGACAGACCTGCTTTGTTCCCATCCAATACTCATCTCCCTTGCGCCCAACCATCTTACCTGGCTGCCTCCACCATGCCTTTCAGCCTAGGCGACCGTCTGGCCAATGGGGTAAGGGACCCTGCCAGCACACAATACCAGCAGTTGCCTAACACCATTTCAATTGGCTGAACTTTCTCCAGTGAGGAGAATGGCAGTGAGGTCGGCCAATCCAATGCCATTCTGAGGGTTGGAAGCCAATGCAGCTTCTGGAGTGGCAAACTTGTTGCTACTGCCCCACACATTGCTGCATGTTTGGCAGTTACATGTCCTTTGCCCCTGGGCTTCAGAGGCCTTGGACCTAAGTCCAAACATCATGAGCCAATGGAGGCACTGTGGTAACCCTATGAGGCAGCGAAGGTTGAAAGACTGGCTCACCTAGTGAGCTTCATGGCTAAACAAGGGTTTGCTATCTTGGACCATCAAGGAAGTGCAGACAATTATGTTGTTGTTGTTGTTGTTGTTGTTGTTGATATTTTTTATTAGTTTTTACAAGAACAAATTAAAAGTACAGTCATACCTCGGGTTACAGACGCTTCAGGTTGTGTTTTTTCGGGTTACGGACCACCAAAACCCGGAGGTACCGGAACAGGTTACTTCCGGGTTTTGGCGGTCGCGCATGTGCAGAAGCGCTAAATCGCACTTTGCGCATGTGCAGAAGCACCAGATCGCAATCCGCACATACGCAGACGCACAGACATGGGTTGCGAACGCTGCAGGTTGCAAATGTGCATCCTGCACGGATCACGTTCACAACCTTAGCTTCCACTGTAAAAGAAAAAACTTCAACATATCCATATATGAGATTCTCTGAACCTCCTTACTTCCCCTCATCCCCTGCATGGGTCCTTAAAATAATTTTTCTAAGGCTACATATCATTACATTCTCCACAGTTTTTTATCCCTCTAGATTATCCTTATCTCGTTTCTTTAAAAGTTATTTTTAAAGTCCAGCTAATGTTTTTATTTGTTTACAATGGTCTAAGTAAGCTATGAATTTTCCCCATTCTTTTTTAAAGTTGTTATCTTCTTGGTTCCTGAGTCTCCCGGTCAGTTTTGCCATTTCAGCATAGTCCAGCAGTTTGGCTTGCCATTCTTCCCTAGCCGTAACTGTAGGTTCTTTCCATCTTTAGGCTAGTAGCATCCTTGCAGCTGTTGTCGCGTACATAAACAGTCTTTTCTGGTCTTTTGGGATGTCAGAACCTGTAATTCCTAATATAAAAGATTCTGGGGTTGTTTTTTTTTTTTTTGACAAATGTTATTTTAAACATTTTTTTTTCAATTCATTGTATACAATGATATACATACAATTATTATTTTGAATAATGGGAGCTGTGTGGTTTATTCTGATAAGCTTACAGATGGCCGTCCTCTTCTGGAGCATAACTGCAGGAGTCAGGGGTTCGGTGCCAGCTCCTGTGAGCCAAGACACTTTCACACACACACAAATGATTTTTTAAAGATGTTGCACTTGGGGGACCCTCAAACATCTTGAGAAGCTGGCACCTCTGAGTCAGCTCAAGACAAGATGGTCAAGATACCATGCTCTCCTCCTAAATCCATATCCAGGATCTGATTCCAACACTCTGGAGAGGAGAGCATCCCACAGTGCACCTGAGGTAGCAAGCCAGTTTAGGGGGACCAGGGGAGGCCATGTGGCAACAGAGTGAAAGGGCTAGGGGACTCAAGAGCTACTGGGAGCTACTATTGCTGTCCCCTCTCCAGCAATTGCCACCTGAGGCAACTGCCTCATTTTGTCCAACGGTAGGGCCAGCTCTGACTGGAGTGCCTCCTAGCCAATAAATTTCAGTGGTTTCAGTTGCACCAAGTCAGACATATCTCAAACCTTTAACAGGACAACACATCAATACATGCACAATATTTATTGTCATAAGCCCTCTGCAGGCATATCAGCTGTAGAGGAATGTGCAAAAATAGTATGGCAGCCCCCTTCAGACTAATGCGGATCAAATATTATCCGGGGAACCTGCCCAGTAGGTTCTGTGGGATGAAGAAGCTTCTCATCTCCCCAGTGGTGGCTGGTGCCCATTGTGACTGATAGAGGGAAACCAGGGAACCCAACATTCATCGGTTCATAGAATCGTTGAGTTGGAAGGGACCCTGAGGATCATCTCGTCTCACCCCTTGCAATGCAGGAATATGCAGCTTGTTCCATACAGGGATTGAACCTGCCACCATTTCACTTTAACCAACTGAGATGGAACCAGAGGCAATGACAGGCAGATCCCACCAATTCCAGTTTTGTCCCCATTCTACTCCCTGCTGAATTCTACAAGGACAACACTTAGGAGGGGGATGATGGGTTGTGCTGGGCTGGGTCTAACTGAGGAGGCAGGCAGGTGGGGGAAAGCTGAGCTCCGCTTGCCCCAAGTTCTCATAGTGAAATTCGGTTGCCCAAGTCTTCGTGACTGCATGGGGAAGCTGAACTTCCAGAACCAAACACTCTGTTAAATATCTTTCCATTTCATTTCTAGCCCATCCCATTATTTATTCAGCTATTTACTTTTCTGTGTCTTTCTTGTCTGTCGCGCTCTCTCCATCTGCCAAATCTTGCTTTTTGTATAATTAGACTGCGTACTGTTGGACAGATGGGAGAGATGTTTATTCATGTAAAAATGAATAAAACAAAATGATTGACATAAGGAGTTTATGGGGCAATTATCCTTTCGTTTATACATTTTAGTTACTCTGGATTCCTACCAGGGTAACTATAAGTGGAGCTTGGCTGGGGGAGACAGCCTTAGCCGTGGGACCTTGGTCAATAAAGAAAACATTCAAGCTTCCTTTCCTGTGCAGGTGGTTATTCTTATGTTTGCTCCGATTCCCTGTATGCGTGAATTTCTCTTCCTCCGTGTATTATCTTCCAGTGAGGGCAGGAGAAGCAATTAAAAGTTACAACCATGGATGGATCCAAGCCACAGAACTTGGAAGGCAGCACAACATTTCAACCAACAGTCCAAGAGACTGCATTTGGGTCGGGGGGGCTTTGTGGGTTTTGCGTCTCGTTAAAAGCGACGCTGAGCAAAATGTTCAAATGGCAAAGCTGTTAGCATTTGACTCCTTGGTGCGTGTTTGGGGCCCCCATCCTGCAAGATGATTACGGCAGCTGGAGTTGCTCAGCACTTCTCAGGATCGAGCCCGTTATGCGAATTCACAAATGTAAAATAAATTGAAGATTTCCCCATAAATGCATGCATAGAGGCAATAAACTCCCATGCACAGCAGGAATAACATTTACAGTATCCTCCTGACCTCCGTTTCACCTCATCGTTTTTCAGTACATAAACTACTGTGCGTAGCAGATGTGACATACCATAGCTTGATGCAAGCCAGCACAACATCAGGCACAGTTCATTTAAAGAAATACCTTTGTAAAAAAAATGAAATGAAATAAAATGGGTAGAATTGCTTGCCATAAAGGAAGTCCAAATTTCTCATGCTTCCCGTGGACACCTGATGAAGTGACTGCATACTCTCAGTTAAGTTTGGCCGTGGGTAATTTTCCCCACATAAAAAAAAAAGAATCTTAATTCTGTGGTAGTAAAGATACTGCAACATCATGACCACCATCATTTAAAAAGGAAAGGCAAAGGTAAGTTAGGAAAGAGGGAGCCCTAGTGCACTTGTACGATTGTAGGTAAAAAGTAAATATGAAGGACCCCTGGATGGTTAAGTACAGTCAAAGGTGACTATGGGGTTGCAGCGCTCATCTCGCTTTCAGGCCGAGGGAACCAGCGTTTGTCCACAGACAGCTTTCCAGGTCATGTGGCCAGCATGACTAAACCACTTCTGGCACAAAGGAACACTGTGATGGAAACCAGAGTGCACAAAAACGCCATTTACCTTCCCGCCGCAGTGGTACCTATTTATCTACTTGCACTGGCATTCTTTCAAACTGCTAGGTTGGCAGGAGCTGGGAGAGAGCAACGGGAGCTCACTCCATCATGGGGATTCAAACCGCTGACCTTCCGATCAGCAAGCCCAAGAGGCTCAGTAATTTAGACCACAGCGCCACCTGCATCCCCTGTACGATTGTACCTATGCCTCCATCAGGATGCTGCTCCCAATTCAGTGCTCTGTTTTTACGATAGCTAACTAGTGGCCAGGTTATGTTTGGTTAGGTTTGTTGAACTTATGTATCACTTCCCACAAAAAAAGCCTCAAAGTGATTTACAATAAGACTAAAATAGAGGGTTCCACCCACCAAGTCTTCCTGCCAATGCAAGAACTTCTGTCTATGCAATGGGACTCCTTCTCCATATACGCACCCTTGCACCTCCAAAATCTGCTCCTCAGGGTTGGGGCGGATCCAGAACAGATAGGTAGGGCATGGGGCACATACAGGAGGCCCATGAGAAGTCCAACTCCTTGCGCCATCAAGATGACTTTGTGGGATGCGACCCACAACCATAAAAGCAGCTAAACATGTGGAAACCATCCCATTGTTGGGTGTCTCCAAGCGGTCATGGAGGTCAGTGGATTTCAAAATTCTCAAGGAAGCATAGCCTCTGCCCTTGACAGCTGTTCCGCTGCTGCTATGGTGAAACCGTAGGATCGCTGCTGACCTTTGCAATCAGCTTGACATCTCCTTGGCATCTTCTGTCATTTCGGGTGACTCACGCCAACTGCACTGGGCCCGTGAAGTATTAAAAGAGTTAAGGAGTATGGATGGTGCATGTATACATGGAAGTTGCGCATGACAAAGTTGAAACACAGACAGATTTAAAGAACTATGGCACATTTGCTGGGGGGAGGGGGAGTGAGAGAGACTTTCCCTTTGTTTCCACAGTGTTTGCCGTTGCAGAAAAATTGTTATGAATTTTCAAATCTACCCAGTGGCTGTCAGCTATTGCTCAGCCTGAGAAATTTCCCCTCTGCTGTGTAGACCAGATCATTTGTTCTGCTCAGCTTGGGGTCTATCCATTTGTCTGCAGTCGAGAGTCTTGAATTATGGACTTGGTTCGATGCTGGGATACTTGGTGCTTCAAAAACCCTCTCTTGTAATGCTCCTGATTAAAAGATTCTGTGCAA